TTGTACGGCAGTGAAGCATCAGTACCAACACTGATGTTGCTGTCATTGATGATGATGATGATGATGAGTACCATAATTTGCCGCTGGGCTGTTGTTGGTCAAACTGCCTAAAATACGGACATCCTGAATTGTTCTTCCCTCATTTTCGGGCCGAGATCCCATGACTTCCTATGATTAAGTCGTTTTGTCATCCGTTGCTGTTTTTCGAGCTCTATGTTGCTTTCAAGTGAGCTGTTTTTCGTTCACTCACCATCGTTTGCACTTTTAACCCAATCTGTAGGGCTGATTTCATTCGCGTTGAACATAATTTAGATTTTACATGGCTTATGGTGCTTTTCTTTCTACTTGGTTTGACTGTCAGATTTAACCATCAAACTGGACGCTTGGAACGCGTTGGTAGTAGAGGCGTTCTTGGTTCATCGCCAGCCATGATGACTGGTGGTCTGTTGTTCGGTGAGCCTGCTCTACCTCTAGGAGTGACAGATGAATACAATCCTCTGGTGCCGAACGATTTCGAAGAACTAGTTCGAATCAAACGAGAACGCAGGAGAGCTGAAGTAAGTCCTAATTCCATATTTAGTTGGTCGCTTTCTGAACTGGGATAGATGTGGTCTACAATAAGACTAAATCATTGATAACACATCTGCGCTGCACTCAGGCTTCCTAGGTTCATGAAACCTCTTTCGCTCTGTATGCGAGTAAAAGTCGTGTGAAACTTACCATCAGCAGCTTCACTGATTTAATTGTTAACCACATTCAGATTAGAAATACCTTTGACCGAGCCAGAATTTCTCTCGTATGTTCATGCGATGTTAGACCAGTTTACTGTAATGTTTCATTAATATTTTTGAAAGTAAAGTAAACGACGTATTGCAGTTTGACTATTCCGGAAACTCATCCTGGTGGTCAAATCGACGCAGGTGAATTATGATCATTTAAGCCCTGGTACTTATTTCTGGTGTGCCACTTTCGATGATGATGATGATGATGATGAGGATGCAGTCCGATGCGGTGTGGATCATTTTTCCGCTACGTACACACTTAGTGCATATATACTTCAACATCTCAGTCGTTTCACCGGCGCTGCTACTGGCGCAAAGTTTACGTGAATGGTGCCTCGCTACGTAGACCGCTTGGCGGAAATAGTTTCTTATACGAGCGTTCGTACCACTCTTAGACACTCACTATGTAGGCTAGTTTTTTATCACATAGGTATGTTCTTCCTTGGGATCTCTTGATTATCAGGGTCGGGCTACGTTCAGTGCATTATTATTTGATGCTGGGTTGCCGCAGCTCATGCGGTCTTGCACCACTGTTACCTAATGTTTTACTCTCCATATTTGGATCAACATCTTACATGTATATATGGCCTGAAACAACTACACACCAGGCAGTTAAGAACCCCTCATGTCAACCAGTTTGACTGCTGAGTATTTTCGGACTAGTTTTCTTAAAAGTGACTTTGTCGCTCTTCAGGAGGCTGCTATTGCTGCTGCCGCTCATCGCCACGATGGAAGTGACCTTTCGGGGATGTGCAAACGTCCCGATTTTTCAGACTACGAGGATGATGATGATGAATTTGATGAGCCAACTGCTGCTTCAGGTGGCCGTCGTGGCCGCCAGGCTGCTCCACCACCAAAAGGCGCAGCCATCGCACCTCCATCTTCCCTCTTGGAAGGTACAACTGTCGACCCTGGCTCAACTAGTGAGGGTCCAATGGAGACGGAGGAAAGTGAAACTGTCGGTGCAACTACCAAATTTGGCATGTAAGTTCACCATATCTGTGGCTTCATTTCTGTGTTATGATGTCGTTCAGTCAGTGGACTTAATTGAGATTCTCGGTTTTCACAACCCACCTGTCGACATGCTCTCAGTTAGGACTAACTCAGGGGATTAAGTCGCAAGCTACCTAAGTAGAAGCTCCCAGTTCGAACCCAGATCCGGCATTTCAACTGCAACCCTCGCACTCCCATCTGATGACATAGTAGCTGTGTCGAACAATAACAACTCGATTATTCACCCAACGATACCTGAAAAAGGGATGATCCCCTTCGTTCATTTTGATCAGGCTATGTTAGCGTTAAAACAAGGTTCTTCGATAGTGTAGACAACGTTATTGGTGCCCCTATAAAAAGAGATCATATCCAGATATTGTTGTCTTTGTTTCATCGTATCCCGCTTATGACGGATTTCTTTCTCTGAAATGTGCTGAGATTTTGGGGTTCCCAATAACTGTGGTATGGGCCGACAAGACAGAGGTTGCCTATTTAGTTCACTTAAAGCCCTTGTCATATCCACAAAGGAGGCTCTTGGTTGTAGCTCAGATGGCTGTTCACCAAGCTTGACAATTTGCTTACAAACGTTTCGCTGCCAATTCTGCGTGCACTGATGGCGTCCTCATGGTTGGTGGAGAAACATTTGGAAGAGAATTGCTAAGCTCGGCGAACAGATCATGGGTCACCTGATCGACCACCGACTAACATACCCGATATACTACCAGAGATTTTTTTGTCTGTCTATCTTCTATCCTCGTGTTTCTGTTCAGAATCTCGTAGAGAATGGTCAAGACAGACTTCGTAGTCCCACAAGCACTCTATTCTCTGTGGTCTTTTTCATATGCTAATACAAACAGCTGGATGACACTGGCGTAAACGCCGGTGTCTACCACCGCTGTCTGCTTCCCGCGGATCCACACTAAAACCGTGAATTTATGTGTGAACTCCTTGCACAGTGTTTTACAGTTTTACAATAGAACTTATTCATAGAGAATACTTGATCTTGACATCCACTTGAGTTGACACTCGGTGCATCGCCTCATACTCGTTGCTAGGTTTTTTAAAAGCGTTAGTCGATGGTACTCGCTGTAGCTTTACTATGATTTAATGCGGTTGCAAACAAAGACCACACTCATCGCATTTTCACCAGTTTCTCCTAGCGTCCGTCGACCCTGTCCGGAATACTGTTTTGGTAATTGCTACTGAATAGTTCACAACGGGAAGCCACGTATGCGCCAGGTGCGCAGCTCTGTGGTCGATGCGCCATCTCTTTTGTGCGCACATGTTTGTGTCTGGAACCAGTTTTCGTCCAGACCCAGTCATCACCACACACAGATGAATGTGGTTGGTCTCCTCACCGCCATTACGCGGATGGGTTTCCGGATTCCACCTCAATGGTGATATCGTTTAGATTTTTATTTCCCACGCGATGAATCCGATCGGCAGACCGTTTTGCTCTGTCATCCACCATGAGCTACTAGTATTTCTAACAAGACAATCACTTGGTGTGAATAACCGCTTGATAGTGAGCATACGCCGGCTTACTTGACGTTTGGTATAGTGGCACTGTTTTTCATGGCCAGGGCGAGGACCTTTGTAGGTCCTCATCTACACTGTTCCCCAACCCTGTGCCAGAGTTCCTCATGGACAAGTTGTTCTTTCTTGTATTCCAACCATTCGCTAGACGCGCACGGTGCCCGTGATGCTCTCAGCTGACAAAATATAAGAAGTATTTGCGCATTCCGTGCTCCTAACTGATGCACTTCTCCCCTTCCCCCGTGGAACACCTTCATGAAGAGATTAGACGTCATCATGGGGCCACTGATTACAAGTCTCAGCAACACCCACAATCCTTCCCAAGGCGTTTGCACACTGGGTAGGATTCTGGCTTGCTTTCAGATATAGGATTTGGACAACTGTGGCAACTCATTCCCCAAAGATTATATCACCTCCAAAAACCGCTGCTTTGTAGTCTAAATTTTTTTTACCCAAGACTTTGGTTTAGGACCCCGTCAATCTAAGTTTCGGCACCCTGGAACTTTCTTAACTCATACTCGGAGATAAAACAATTACCGGAGGTGTCTTCATGCCGCATTGGCTGTCGTCTATTATTCCTGCACGATGTGGCAAGTAATCAGTCCCACTTCATAGCCGGACTACCTATTGAAGGTTTTTTCCCTGTGTAGTGGCTTCTGTCAGGTATAGTCAGTCCCATGCTCGACTGTGTTCATTTCATTTCGAAAGTTTGGTCACAGTATTCCTGATTGTCCTCTGTAAGGGCGTGTGGCTTTCCACCGAATCCTCAACTTTCAACTTTATACTTTTTTCTGAGGTTTTCGTTCCCGTTGTAGTTAGTGCTCCCACAATATAGTAATCCTCCATTGACTGTATTAGAGGCAGTTCCAAACCATTGTGGATGGGACGGCAAGCCAACGGCTAATAAAAGAGGTGCAACCCACGACAGTCCGTTCATTTTATATGACTAGTCTAGCACGTAGACACAGAATGTCTCTGATAGCCAGTCGTCAAGTTCTCTAATCTTTTCCAACTACAGACCCCTCAGATAAAGTTCCATTTATTGCAGGTCTGTAAAGAACCTGTGTCAGAATCAGCACTGACGACCGCTGGCTAACAAAAGCAAACATCGTCCGCGCACTTCAGTTTGAGTTTACCTAGGTCACAAGATCTTATTTGGAACGTTGTACTTTGCTCATCGCATTTTTCAGGATTAGGGTCTGCACTCTCCTGCGGTCTCAGGCTGTTTGGCACCTTATCATCTAAACGTATTCTACCAGTTCAATCCCTGTTCACTTACTGGTACCCACAGATTTTTACCGACACTGTGTTTTAGAATTGGTGTCCACAAACAGCGTGCGCGTATATCTCCCCTTGGGGTTCGTAATTCTTCCAACTGTTTTTTTATTATAATGGCTGTATGAACGTGCAAAGACGTCCTCATTTCGATCTCTTTCGTTATCTAGCAACGCCGTTGCGGCCAAAATGATGGCTCGAATGGGTTACCTCTCCCCTTGGGTTCGTAATTCTTCCAACTGTTTTTTTATTATAATGGCTGTATGAACGTGCAAAGACGTCCTCATTTCGATCTCTTTCGTTATCTAGCAACGCCGTTGCGGCCAAAATGATGGCTCGAATGGGTTACCGAGAAGGTCAGGGTCTTGGACGCGAGAGTCAAGGTATGGCTACTGCACTGGTTGTAGAGAAAACCAGTCGTCGCGGAGGAAAGATTATCCACGAACGCGACCAACAGCGACAACAGGCAACTCAGCAAAATCCGCTTCCAGACTCAACAGTGGAAGAAACTATCAATAACCTACCGTTGCCTGAAAACCGTAGTTGTGTATGTTCTGTGCTTCATGTGCATTATGTTGTAGTTCTTATTCAATCCGCGTAGGTTACTTTGAGTTTGACTTGCAGTCAAGAAAACCCCGGCCGTTTACTTGTATTGTTTGGCAGACATTTTAGATTGACTTGTTTTTGTCTGGTCATTATCAACGCAGTGTTTTGTCTTTTCCCGTCTCTCGCCGAGTTTTGCGAGTCACATTTACATCACGTGCAACCGACGGTGTTTAGTTTTTGGCTGTGGACGAGGTCTTATATCACTTTTATTGCCCGCTCTCCCATCAATCGTCTTTGCAAGTTGGGGACTTTTTGAGTGCCTGCCCTCGCTCACTTTTCCCTGTGTGGTACACCTTGTTTCAGCCATATCAGTATAGTGGTGTCTTCTGAATAACATCTGTACTGAGGTGTGGTATGCTAGAAAGGCCCGGAGTGCGAAATGATGACATTGTCAGGAGAAGAAATTGCCACGTTACCTAAAACTGCCACCTGTTTGTTAGATCAAATCCACGTTTTGTAAGCTTATTTTGAGCACACATGAAATCTCTTTCATTATCTAAATAGGTGACTAAAGTTCGAACACTCATCTCCGCACACTTCTCTAATCCGCTGTACTTTCCAGAGAAGAAACTTATTCCACTACCGTAGAAAACTGATCCCCATTGCTTTGAGCATACCTTTCATCAATTAGCTGACAGATAAATGCGGTCTGTAGCTAAAGATAACCGACCAGAGAATTTTTACACACAATCCCATACCACACTAGATATGGACTATGTACCAAGTAGCTCCTGCACCACTCCTGGTTATCTGATACGGTGAATATGACACAAGTCGTATTGTGTCCATCGTCTGCTTGGTGCACCAACTTGGATACAATTTACTAGCCTCTCCAAACCCTGATTTGTGGCTTAAAAAACGGCGCACTCCGGGCTCTTGAACGATCTAGGGTATCCGGGGGCCGGCTGCCCCTAATAACCGAACAGCACGTCAACTGGGCGGATTTCGCGTGCGGGCTACGGACCAAACGAAGGCATGCCCTGGTTGGTCAGAATGCCAGCCAATCTGAATCGAGCGTCTTTGGCTCGACGCTTCACGCCTCCTCACGGAGATTCTAGAATGAACTTGTGAGACATTCTGTGATTAGCCTATGAATACGGCTGTGATAATCTTCGTTTGTCTCCATAAAGGGCTGTCTGAAGTTACCGTGCCTTTTGGTATACCAAACTGGGCGGAGCAGGAAGCCAAGGACCGGCACAGAGTCACACGACCGTTTAGCAGTCACAACGTAGGACAACCGCGATGTCAACCAGTATGGCAGTGCAATTACAATCCACCCTATCCATGTTATTTTTTATATGATTCAACTTTGCATATCCGCGCGGTAATTGCTCCACGGAATCCATTGAAGTTTATCTCCCTTTACTCTTACCACTAAGTACGGGGTTCCGTCTTGCAAGAATAATCCGTTCCGTTCACTGGAACTAATTGATTGTTCACCGTTATGTTCTATATCAACTTGAATGCTTTGCCGTCTGTGAACACTGATGATGAATGGTTCACATGTTTATCTGTTCGGCGTGTAGGCAACCATTGTGTGTTTATCTTTTTATTGTGCCGTGTAGTATGATTATCATTGTATACCCCATTGTGTAGCCTAATTTGATATAAACAGTCTGTATGCGTGAAAATTCTCGATACTGTTAAGCCAGGTGATGTTGGTTTTGGAAAAAGCTAGGCAGATGAACTTTCTGCGCAACGGCGGGAACGCAAACCGCAACTAGAGACGAGCAACGTGAATAGACAGTTGGCTAGCTCATGCCTTGCGTTGGATTAAATTCATGTTCTCCGCAGCAACTACTTGCTCCAGGTATTCTCGGCCTGCCGACACCATAAACTAAGGACGACAACTACTAAGGTGAAGCGCTATCAACTGTTTTTGTCCCTTATTTTTTGAAGAGGCAATCTGATATTGACATTAACTACAGGTTTTTCGATCAACCCATGCAATAACCGCTTCCACAGAAATGACTGTGGTGTGGGCGAGATGTCCCAAGTGGTTAGAGCTCGAATTTACTGAACGGAAGGTCCGTGGTTCGAACCCGACTTCTGCCTCTCGACTTCCCCTGTCTAGGCTTGGGCAACCTGGCAGTATTTCAGCCCTCGTGCTTCCTTCGGGTGGCATGGCAGCTAGGCACTGAAAGGGTCCTACAGCCTTTTTACACACCATAACTTACCTCTCGAATGATTCTCGCCAGACGGGCACCAATTTCAGCTTTGATGAATTACCACCTACATGTATTTTTTTATTTTCCTTTTTACACACCATAATGTATGGTGGCCGACTGCTTGAAAAGAACTTGTCTCTGAACCATATCTCAAGCATCTTCTCATAAAGGAAGCTTATAACAGTTCCTTCACTAGTCGAAAATTCCTGTTCTTTTTCTGCATCCCAACAAACATGCAACTTACCGTTAATTTAGTGCACGTCTATAGTTATAACTTATCGCATTCATCATTCCCGACCCTTCGTCACCAACCTTGCCGTTTCTGACACCCATGCAAATAACAAATGTTCAGCATATCGATGGTTGTTGATATGTTCGCCGAACTCGGCAGTTTGCTTGCAAGTTTCGCCGTCATTTGAGGTGACATCATCAGTACGCGATTGGCAATGCCGTCACAAACTGCCAAGCTCGGTGAACAGATTAATGGCCACCTGATCAACCACCGAAATATGCACCTGAGCTACTAATATTCTGGTACACTTCCATACGTCCAAGATAACCAGGTTGGTAATCGAACTCATGAACGACCGTTCCATTTGTTCCGCTCCATTTTCACATCTACTGCCCAGCCTTACTCATTTTACATCTTGGTCTTCATGTTAGGTGGTCGGAAATGCTTGTATGAGTTTCGATTCATCGGGTTTTCGTAGGTGTTGAGTACATGTTCAGCTAAACTCCCTACCACCCATAATGTTTCAGGTGATCTTGTTGCGCAACATGTGTGGTCCCGGCGAAGTCGATGATGATCTACAGCCGGAAACGGCGGAAGAGTGCGCTAAATACGGAAAAGTGGTGTCGTGCATGATTTTTGAATTAGCTGATACCCCCGACGACGAAGCAGTTCGCATCTTCGTGGAATTCGAGTCTGAAGACGGCGCCACGAAAGGTGATTTTACCTACTGTTGTTTTGATTCATTATCCTCTCTGCTGCCTTGATCTCGTGATTGTTTATCGCCGACGAGTTCTTATTGTCAACAAGCTATATGATAAGTTGACACCCTGACCTCTGTCTCCGTGATACTTTGTTTACGAGTAAGTATTTCAAACTAGGTTTTCCTATTGGATTCCAAACCTCCGTGGATTTTTAGAGCATTGTATTCCCTGGCTCCTAAAAACATTCTTTTGTTCCCGTACTTAGCGTTGATTGTTGTTTCAGCGAACGGCCTCCCTCTCTGGAAACACTCCCACGAAGACGCCAAATACTCGCGGCAATTTCCCGTAAAGGAGTGTTTCTAGGCTTTGATTGTAACTGATTCTCGGATATGGACCACTTTGTAGAGACAAATGTATTTGCAGCGTAACCCACGATCTGTGTCCCTTTGAAAAGCGCTTTGGTTAAGCCATAGACCTTACAGGAAGGTTGTCGAGTCGAGCCCAGTCCCGACTTCTTTCTAAACCCGAGCATCTTGTATTACCTAAGCCGCCTCGCATTCACCGAAATATTGCCCTAGTTCAAGTATCTTTTCTATCCAATCATGAAACTACGACGTATTTTATGCATTCTTACAGCCGTTCTTGACCTCAACGGACGATTTTTTGCTGGCCGTGTTGTAAAGGCCGGATTCTACGATGCCGAAAAGTTTCGCAACTTGGAACTGGCCGACGCACCTATTTCGGGATAATAGATGCCATTTTCCGCGCACTTTGTATCATATCTCTGTTTTGTATTTTCTTCCACTTATCTTCGAATAAATAGTATCCCTAACTCTTGTTCAATCCGAGTTCCGTTTTTGGACGCACGTTAGTGATAAATGATTGCGTACGTGCACCTTGACGTCTAGATCAGTGCATGTTTTTGGAGCTATCTTTGAGTTGAGCAGGGGGGTTGGAAGCTTCACGTGAAGACTTGAGCGACCTGGTAATTTTATTTGCTCGGGGGAGGTATTTTACATCTTTCCTCCGCCACCCAAACTGGCTAACGAGGAAGTACATCCTACCAGCCTTTATCTTTACCGTCGGTGGTAGCGATTTGCACACATCCGGGCAGATTGCTGCTGCTCGCTTCGGCAAACTCGAGCTAATTCCTATAGCAATTTACTGTGATTAGAACGTCAGCTCGATGGGTCACCACACAATTTTGGCACGAACATTCGAAATTGTATTATTTATGAGTCATATGCATACATAACAGGCTTTTACGCTCTCTGTAAATCGTGTCCGTGAAGTTCAGTGCCGAGGAGAACTGGTGTTTTGGTCCATAATTTCTCGTATCATGACAGCTGGAAGTAGGAGTGGCAAAACAGGGGTTTCCATAATATTCTCTTGACATCATACGTTCATTTCTAATTGTAAGCGTGATGTAGTAACTGTCCGTTAGAGTTTTTTGTTGATCGGGAGTAATTCTCATCTGTGAACCTCACCCCATCCGCTCCTTGCCTGAAATCAGGGTGTGCCCGTGTACGACTGAGGCAAGTAAGACGTTCGCTTCGTTCGACAGTGCAAACCAACTGCCAATCTTGACGAACAGATCAACCACTGAATAAAAAATCACCACGTAAGATCTGTGTGCCCATCTGGTCTATGACGGCAATGACATTACACTGCAAAATGTTCTGTCCGCCGGCGTTATCATGTGGGTCACTCGAAATGTGGTGGCTATTTTGTCCCCATCATTTTTATGATGTTCGCATTGCTGATTCCCAATGAGGATGAAAGAGCTGTACGGTGATTCTCAGCTTCTCAGCATAGATTGACTTCACTCACAGGACAGAGTCCTCATTGAAAACCAGTCTCATATGTTTTGGGTTGAGTGCGTTACGGTCCTCTTCAACGATTAGAGGTTATTGAATAGAGGTCAGAAAGCGTCCTACACCAAGTGATAAGTCGCATACTATCGGCAGCAGGAGTTTGCCGATCGACGGCACCGTAAATCGAGCGTTGAAGTTGACAAATCATTAGCAGACTTCGCTTACACAAATCGCTCGCTGGAAATATAGAATTTTCTCACATTATCAGCCACTTATATTTAGTTCGGAGGAAGAATAATTCGAAAAGTGAAACTTCCATCTGAGAGGTAACTCAATGGAACCAGTCAGCACGTGACTCCATGACTGAAAGATGAGCGGCGCTATACTCTGTTTAGGTACAGTTATTCACACTACTAATCAGCCATTGGTGGTCAGACGATTAAGTATTCAATATGTTTGCCCTGAGGTCGTTGATTCAAAACTCTTGAGCTTTGTGAGGTGATTGCCGCTGAGGATGAAACACTTGTGCAGTGCTTTTCAGCATAGATTGACTTCACGATTCATTTGGGGTAAATGTTAAGGTAAGGTGATGAGCAAGCCGTTTCCGCAGGGAGACCGACAGTCCCAAAGCACTACATTACAGTCTGAAGTTGTGAAACGCATAATGAAACTGGATCACATCCGGGACTCTACTTAGAGTATACTCGTTCAGCTGTAATACCATTCCGGTGTTCAGCTGTCATGCCACCCGAAGGAAGCACGAGGGCTGGGATACTGCCAGCTTGTTCAAGCTTAGACAGGAGAAGGCGAGAGGCAGAGGTCGGGTTCGAACCACGGACGCGGAGTGTTTTAACCATCTCGCCCCAAAGATCGGATTTCCATGCGGAGTGCCTCGATCCCTCGAAGAGTCACATGGTAAAATAAAAATATCGATAACACTTGAGCACGAAGGGGGAAACAGTAGCCCTGTCGCACTCTACTGATTGCAGGAAAACTCAGGACGGTCTTAACCCACCAGAAGTGTGGAAATAGAGAGCAGAAACCATGTTTAGTAATCTCAGGGGCATTTTTCTTTGATCAAATACATGTAGGATAACTGGAATGTCAACGGATTTGAAGACTCTTGAAGCCAAGGAAAACCACCGCTGTTGGTCGACAGCATGTATGACTTTGCTCAAGCATTTGACGTAATGTGATGATGTGAATAATCCTCTCCCTGTCCGGACGAAAACTAGCCCGCTGCTGTCGGATTTGTCTCTCGTGTACCGGGGTTGGGCGTCGCAATATTGAGACCGCGTTACCACTCGCGTCGGGCCGATGGAGCCATCGTCTCATGTACTCGCTTGGTATGGTTGTATAACGGTTAAGTGGTGCCAGTTTTGTGGGCGCATCCTTATTCCTCAATGAGTCAACTTCACAGGAACGCAAGCTTACCGAGAATCACTTACCCCATATTAACACCCGAAAGCGTTATCGCTATCCAATTGTGAGCCTTCACCATTGATCTCGTGCAGTTCGCTTAATTCATGAGCCGCATCCACCACACTACATGCTGCGCTCCATTACTTCAGTTCAGTATGTTCCATGACAAAGGTCTTAAAAACTGTGAAAATGAAGCGGTTATACTTCAAAATCGGACTGCAAAATCCGAGTTACGATTACCCCCAACCGGGATTGCTAATTATGTTTTGAATCAAACCAATTCATCATCATTGTCAGATGTAATAACCGCGTACTTGTCGTAAAGTGGTTGTAGCTGCCACAATTTCATTCACCGATGATTTAAAGTGGTTTAGCTGCCACAATTTCATTCACCGATGATTCGGAAAGGTGAGGTAGGTAGCTGCGCATATTCTGAAAGTCCCCTATTTTCCGGTGCATTCACTTGTTATTAGCTAAACAACAACCCAGGGTGAAGTACTGAAGTGTATTGCAGTCTAATCAATCACAGACAAGTCGTGTCGACACTAATTTTGCGCCTGAAGACAACGGTGCATAGGCAAGGGAGCTCGAGATATCCCAGTGGTCAGTGGCGAACTTACTGACCGGCATCTCGAATCTGCCCTTCTAGGCTTGAGTCTGGCAGCGTCTTAGCCCATGTGGCACGGCAGCCAGTGAGAGAAAGCGGGTTACAGCTGAATGTCACAAATCAGTCGTGCCAAAATGTGAATTCATGGACTCCAGTTACATGCCACCGAACCTATCGGTACTGGAATGAGATGTGGTCAGAAATGACCGTGCAGCCTTCCTAGTACCATCTGAACTGGCCATGTGTGTATGCAGTGAGTGGCATCGACTTAAAATCAATCTAACTGTGGCATCCTACAATGAGGTGCGCGAAAGACCCACGTATCCGGAATGTCCTAATATAAGCCAGAGACCTTGTTGGTCCGTAAACCAACTTGAGTTGCCCCTATCTGTTTGGTGCACTTCAGTCAGATAAGTCCATTTATGTCCGTTGGTTCTTCACAATAGTCAGGACTATCAGACTACTGTTGAGCATTTGATTTTTTTCGTATTTTCCGTTAACTGTCGTCCCTATTCTATTTAATACGGACTTCGATTGGTGATATATAGGGAGAAAGATTGAGTGGTTTTGTACCGGATTTATTAGTCCTAGTTATGAAAGTTTGTTCCCCAGTGTCTATTTATCTTCAGTGACCCTATGGAGGAAAGTTAGTTTGGACTGGAATCGGACGTGGAAAGTCACGAGGGAACTCCGGCTTTTTAACTGACCACAAGCCACATGACAGGTCATTCTTCTCAGCACTTGTCTGAGATCGTTCGACTCATACATGTGGTTCTTTGTTAACCTGTGTAAGGGCGGCACAGTTTGAAACGTAACGGTGCAGATAAACGTGTGTTCTCACGAAGAGACACCGACACAAGGACCGTTACAACAGTCCTTTACAGCCCTATAAAACGCTAGAGTTTTCTATTACTGATTACATGTTTGTGTGCTGTACCCGAATCGACTTGTTTTAAAACCAAACCCACGGGTCATACTGCTCCATCCATTGTTTATTGCACTCCTGCGGTCTACCCAGGATCCAAAGGGCAGATCCCCGATCGCCTTTCTTACTTCTGGTTTGCGTGAGATCGAGAATAAGCGAAATTCACCTCTGTAGGATGTCATAATTCCCCGGATCTTACAATCGAAAACCGAAAAGTTGAAAAGGGCAAAATAAATAAAATTACACGCATAATATGTAGATACAAAAACAACTAGGAAATGTACAAAAGAGTATACAGAACAAAAACAAAATTCACTGGATTTTCAAAGCAAGCTACAGTAATTTCTAACGCCAGGATCGACGACCGCATCGTCAGAGGCTGCTGGCTTCTCAGGGGCCAATTCGACTGACGGAAGCTCGTTCTGTGGACCACAACCAATAACCTCTGGTGTGCTGGGAGAAACCGACTCCGTCATGGGTGTGTCGTGCTCGGAGGGTGAAATGCGTTGTACTCGTTTCCTCGGGTGAGGAGTCTTTTTCACACTCTTCAGAATCGGTATAGCGGTTAGTTTGGCATCGTAGTCTTCATCTTGTAATTTGGCACTGCGCAGTCTGGTGCGGATCGGAGAACGTGTATCTACCATTCTTGAAGTTGTCAAATCCCGATCCAATTCGATATCGACAGCCACCACGTTAAATCGCCTAAAACATCGTAGTAGTCTGGAAATGTCGAAAGCCTACCTAGATTTTCTCCGCTGATCAGTTTTCCTGACAATCCCGCCATTTTTAGATGGAATGTCGACTGTCATCATAGGTATATGCAGATTTGAAATAAATGCAGTACAATTTAGCCGAAATGCAAAGAAGCCTGTAAAAATGACAAAGAATTCGGGATTGTAAATGCCAGGTTGACCGAAACCATAAAAGGTGCATTAAAAATTTGTGAACAGCGTGCGTTAACGCTTTAATGCCATAGAGCTAGACATCAAAAATAGTGCTCAAACAAACAACAATTGCGGTCTAACAATTAACACATATTACTACTGATAAGCT